CGTTAATGATTATTGTTATTGACGTTATGATCTTCGTCATAAGAATTATGTTGATATGTATGTTATGTATGCTACGTAAATATTGTGAAATTATGGTAACATCAAAGGTGTATGCTATATGAGGAACATTGTGAAATTATGGAAACATCAAAAAGGATTTGTGAAATATGCATCTTGAATTTGTGAAGTATGGATCACCAACTTGTGAAATATGAAACGATGTGGCCGAGGGCCATTTGTGAAGTATGAATTTCCGAATTGTGAATTGTGAAACTATGAAGCCAAGAGCCGAATTGTGAACCTATGAAACCCAAAAGCTAATTTATGTATATGTGAATTTATGAGGCCGAGGGCTGACTTGTGAATTTATGTGGCCAGGGGCCATTTGTGAACTATGAACCTATGTGGCCAGGGGCCATTTGTGAAATTATGAAGCTATGAGGCCAAGGGCCAAACTTGTGAACTTGTGAATCCAAAGGGCCGAAGGCCGATGTAATTAGTTGTGAATCTATGAAACCTAAATGCTATCGTGAACGTGTGAACCCCTTAGGCCAAGGGCCGAACTGTGGAATTGTGAAACCGATAAAGTCATCTGTAATCTAATGAAAATGTGCTTACCTTGCCCTATTAACTTTACGTTAATTATGTCAACTCGTGGGAATGATGTAACGGTTACCATTAGGACTATTAATTACAAGGCAAGGCAACTATGTTAACATATAAGAACGATTAAACAACGGTGTATACTATTGATTAATAGAGCACGTGAATTAAGTCATTTACCCCAAAGAATTTATGTTCATTCTTGAAGAATGGATTCTGCGTAAATATAAGAGTAGCTATGTGTATCCATATGAATTTGAAGTTATTTTACTATGTTGCTTATGAATTGGAAGTTATTCAGAATCTACGATATAAGTGCAAAGTTTAGCATTATTATGTGACTCTCATGAGAATGTGAATTAGTCTCTTATTATTAAGCGTATGATAATGACATGATACAACAAGAAACGCTCTAGTTATAATATGTTCCGTTTGAATTAATGAATGATGTTCAAGTATGTTTCAGGCATGTTTCCAGTATGTTACAAGTTCAAGTATGCTCAGTATGTTTCAAGTATATGTTACAAGTTTGAATATACTACAAGGTCAGATATGTTACAAAGGCCTTAGTGCCATATGTTTCAAGGGCCTTAGTGCCATATGTTACAAGGGCTTTATGCCATATGTTTCAAGGGCCTCGTGCCACCATGTTTCAAGGGTTTATAGCCACCATGTTTATGTTGCAAGATTGAACTTAAAGCCGTTATGTACGTAGCACAGAACCAGACTAACTATGTGAACTCTACATCTTTATATGCATTGCTATGTGTTATGTTTCAATTTAAGCATCGTTTTATTTATGTATTACTATTCACTGAGCTTGGCTCATTCTGTCTAACGTCTGCTTCTGTAGGTAACCAACCAAGTGGTCAGTCCTAGTCATGACACTCGTTTTCTTTTGTCAACCTTCGTGGGTTCAGGCGCTGCACGAAGCCTTATCTATATCAACTATATCATTTTACTCCGCTCAATTAAAAATTGTAACACCTAACTCTCCTTATCTACTAATTTTTTTTTTTAAAAAAAAAATTAGACTTTTATGACGAAAATGCCCTTTCATCAATATGATAAATTACATTTTACTCTCTTAAACTATCACCCAATCTCACTTGAATTAAAAAATAATACATTTATCACTTCAAATTATAAATTTATATCAATGTAAATATTTTGTTAAGAATATGTCTCTTAAATACATGAAAAT